CGCCGTCCCTGCTTTCACATACACAATACAACTTGCTATTTTAAAAAGTTTTTTCTAATCACAAAATTAACTTAGTCATAGTAAATTGAAATTTATGAGTGATTTCAGCAATATTTTATCAATAATCAATTGATATAAGATATATTAATAACATTCTACATATTATATAATATGTATATTATATACGCTTGAGTAGTTTGTCTGTTTATACTATCACTTTTTAATAATATTTTGTATCTGTAATAACTAAAACTAAACAAAAATGTTTGACATGTTAGTTTTTGTAATTTTTATTATTTGAAAAAATCTAGCTATAGATATTGCGTTTACCTATTTAAAAGGATTGAAAAATATATTTTCTTAATATTAGTATTTCAGTACTTCCTTAAATTTCTTGAAAACCCTATTTTATTATTAAGTCAAAATATGGAGTGGAACCTCTTAGTATGAACATACTTTATAAAATAAATTACTGACTAGTGACTTGTTAAGATATAAGCACCAATATTTCATTGAGTACTAACACCAAAAAGCATTATTTACAAAAAATTCGTATTCATTGGTATATGTAAATGTCAGTGGCACCCTTAACACAAAAAAACTCTTATGAATTGGTATAAAACATAAACACTTAAATTAATATCAAAACACAAAATGTTAAGATAATTAAAATTTTAAAATTTTAAAAGCTCAAAATCATTATAAAATCACATATTTCATTGGGACAATTAGATAAATGCATAAATTTAAGTGAATTACTTTGTAAAAAATAACTATAAATCTTAGAATTTGATCAAATTTCTTCAAAATTATGTCATTAAAATGTTGAGCACACATATGACAGGTTGCATAAAAATGTATTAATTTAATGGTTCTCTAAAATTCGATAAACCAGTCAAAGGGCAACTCAATTATTTTTAAGATACCAATTATTATACCTTATTATTCATTAAATGGTAAATTATTGTTTATGCAACCTGGCAATAGACATTTAATTTTAAGATACAAYGCCTAATAGGTACCTAATAAAACTCCAACACCTTGAATAGTTTATATCAATTTTCATGTATCTTATTCTAGAGTGTGAAGCTAATATAAAAAGTGATTGAACTAGTAGTATTAAATTACTAAAATATCTTTGACCTGATAAAACGCTGCAATAAAAAGTCTTTACTAGGTTCATAATAATTTTTCTTGAAAGCAGCGATTTCTGGAGATTTTCTAATAGTAGCTATGACATCAAAATCAGATTCTAGAATAATAACTACAACCAAAACCATCATAAACAATGCAAATATAATTGGTAGCAAAGTCTGTCGCAAGAATGACAAGCTTGATCCATTGTTTCGAATTGCTGTAGTTTCTAAATGTTTTTGACCAGACTGCTGATTAGAAACAGATTGGATTAATGGTGAACCATCTGTTACCATTGTAGTAAAGTCTATAAACAAATTATACATTATTTTTATTAACAATGATAAATATAAGTTTTTATAAGATAAGCTTRGGCTCAAGCTGCAATAAGTATAACAATATGCTGTATTTAAATTTATATAAAAATAATACCATGGTAATAATATGGCATAATAAATTTGATTCAATCTAGAACTGATATTTATTTAGTTGATTTTATCATTATGTTAATAAAATAAAATGTAGGTAATCAAAATAGTACTAAGATTTGATGTGAAAGATACAAACACACAATTTGAGAAATGTAAAGGTACTATTTTTTAGGATTTCATTAAATGTTTTGAAATAGGTTAGTAAGTGTTAAGTTTAAGTTAAACAAATGCTTCGTGTAATAAGATGCTATGGTACCCTCATATTTGTTCTTTATATAATATACAGGTTGATTGATTTATCATAAAACACTCATTATTTCAAAAAGTATTGACTTTTTTCAAAATATTTTTTTACATGGTTTCAAGTTGTTAAAAAACCAATG